TTACAGAGTCAGCATATCGCCCCCACAGTCTGGGTCCTCATTCCACCTCGGAAGGATGGAAGGCTGAGTCAACCTTGAGCCGGTGAGATTTGAACCGCTGAACTGCAGACAGCAGTCAGCTGAAGTGGCCTGCAGTACTGCACTCTAACCACTGCGCCACCTCGGCTCCCACCTCATCGGGGTGCTGTCCGGGGTCCTGAGCCCCAGCGCCGACCCAAACCTGGGCAGCGTAAAGACTCAGGGAAGATGGAGGGAGAGAGGAAGCCCACGGGGGAAGCAGGAGATGGACGGATCGCCTATCTGTGTCAAGACCATCTACGTCCTTCCCAAGTCATGGTGGAAGCTGTGGAGGCCACAGAGACGCCTAAGAACCTTGGATGGGGTCCCTTAAGGCAGGTTTAAGACTTATGGACTTCAACTCCCAGAATTCCCCAGCCCAGGTGAATTCTGGGAGCTGAAGTCCACAAGTCTTAAAGGGACAGGGAAGACGATGAAATGATATTCCGACGCGACACGGAAGATGACGAAACAGCCGGAAAGAAATGGCGGGAGCCGAATTTCAACGGAACTGAAATTTTGTTCCCTCACAGCGGCTGGCTCTGCCCTGCGACTCATTCGACTGGGTCTCCGTGCCATCCCTTCTCCTGCCACCCAAGGCAAAGCCCCCCCCCCATCCTTGCTCAAGTCTAGAGGTACCCTTTGGCCCGAAGGGGAGGTGGATTTTTGGGGGGGTTTGCCAAGCAGCTTGGGGGAAAGCTGGCCGTTGCCTTGAGATGCAGGAGGGCTGCCCCCCTTGGAAGCAAAGGAAAACTGGATGGGTGGGGGCAGCTGGACCCCATCCGGGGGGCCCAGGCCTTCCGGCTGCCAACGCAGAGCTCAGGGCGCCCAGAGGGAGCTGCTAGCCAGGCTCCGTAATTAGCCGGTGGCTGCAAATGTTCTCTAATTCAATTAAAGCCCCATTGAGGGAAGCCAAGGGAGAATTGCCTTTGTGGCTCCCGGTGACGTCAGCCGGAGACTCGGCTCTCCCAGAAGCTCCCGGCTCAGCCAGCAGGAATCCGGGGGGAGGGAGGTGGAGGAGCTGAGCAGCCATTGCAAGAAGGACAGAGCCCCCCCCTAGGAGTTGGGGGGGAGGATTCACCCTTTTTGCATACTCCTCCAACAGCTCCCCTCCCTCCCTGCATATTTCTCTTTCCCTTTTTCTCTCCTTCCCCTCATCTCCCTTCCTTTCCCCCCTCCCCCTCCTTCCTTTCCTCTCCTCTCTTCCTCCTTTCATTTTCTCCCTCCCATTTCCTCTCCTTTTCTTTCCCTCCTTCCTTCCTCTCTCTTCCTTTCCTCTCTTCCTCCCTCTTCTCCTCTCATTTCCCTCCTTCCTCTCCCTCCTCCTCCTCTCCTTTCCTCCCTCTGCCTTCATCTCATATTTCTTCCTTCCTTATCTCTCTTCCTTTCCTTCCTCCCTCCCCTCTGTCCTTTCCTCCCTCCAATTTCCTCTTCTTTCCTTTTCCTCCTTCCTTCCTCTACTTCCTCCCCCTTTCCTCCCTCCCTCTTCCTCCTCTTTCCTTTGCTTTCCCTCCTTCTGTCCTCCTCCCTCCTCCTTTCTTCCCTCCCTCTCCCTTTCCTTTTCTTCCTTCCTCTCCTTCATCCTTTCCTTCAATTTCCTCTTCTTTCCTTTTCCTCCTTCCTTACTCTCCTCCCTCCTCCTTTCCTCCCTCCCCTTTCCTCTCCTCTCCTCCTCCTCCTTTCATTTCCCTCCTTCCTTCCTCTCCTCCCTCCCATTTCCTCTCCTCTCCTTTTCTCCCATCCCTCTCTTTTTCCTTCTTTCCTTCCTTTCAATGGGGCTGCAAAGCACCAGCTGATAAATGCCATCGGCCCCTCTGAAGCAAGGAGGGGTGAGCTGAACTGCATTGCTATGGATTTCAAGGGGGGGGGAGATTTGACCGGCTCTTCCTGTCTCCTGCCCCCCCCCCCCGGCTGCTTTCTTTCCCTGGGGGAATTCTCACCCTGCCTCTTCCCTTCTCCACTCCCACATCTCATCCAGCAATTAGCCTTCCTTTGCCAAGGGAGCAGCTGCTCTCCAGCACCCAGACGCTTCGAGAGAAGGCTGCCGCCACTGCCCCCCCCCAGTATGGGAGAGGAGTGGAAGGGGCTGTCACCTCTGAGCCTCTTTTCTCTTAGACCTCCACGTTTTTTCCAGGGCCCCCTTCCCAGATGGCTGACCCTTCCTCTATCTCCCCTTAGCAAGGGGAGAAAGATGACCAAAGACGCTGGAAGGCAACTTGGAGGTCTTCTATTCCAACCCCTGCTCAAGCAAGAGACCTACACCATTTCTGACAAATGTCTCTTCTTAAAAACCTCCAGTGTTGGGAAGGAAGGGAGGGAGGGAGGGAGGGAGGGAGGGAGGGAGGGAGCTTGAGAAAGTTTTGAACCTGAATTGTCAAAACTCAACTTCTGTTGTGGCCCACCAGTGGCCTGCGGAGCTGGCAGCAGATTCGGACAGTGAGGAGGTTGGGGAGGAAACCTGGGCCAGTCCTGGAGTCTGGGGAAGGCTCGGATGAGGGCTCTGTGTTGGAGGCAGAGAGGGGGCCAGGGACGTATGCCAGT